TGGGCGCGTGCGGAAGCGGGGCGGCGGGAGGGGCGGGGTGGGGCCCCCGGCACGTCCACTTCGTCCGCGTGTGTGTGTGTGTGTGTGGCGGGNGGGAAAAAAAAGGCCCTTGGGCCCCGCTGCGGTGTGCGGTTTGCCGCTGCGGGCTATCGAGAGGGCACATGCGGAGGGACGTACACAAAACCGTCTTCTGCCGTTGCTGCTTCTTTTTCCCCTTAGCGGGACGGCGATGCCTCGATCATTCCTTCTTTCTTTGCGTGCTTTTTGGCTGTATCCACTCATTCCGCGGGCTGCTCATATATATATGTGTGTTTGTCCCTTGTTTTCTCTCTTTCTTTCTGCCCCTCGCTAGACTCTGTGCGTGTGTGTGTGCTGCGGTGGGAGGAGTGTGGCGATGGCTGGCCGTGCGCTGTTGGTGTGCGTCCTCTGCGTGCTGTGCTGCGCCGCCGGCGGGGGCTGGGCGTGGGACCACCTGTGCCCTGCTGATGGAAAGGAGCTGTTGAACGTAACAGTGGAAGATGGGTGGAAGTTCTGCGATTACAACGAAACTTTTGCGGCGACCACTAAAAATAAGCCTGCTGACACCGGGGCCAGTGCTGCCACCAATAATCCGGCGGGTGCAGGTGCCGGTGCTTCCACGACTGTCGGTGGAAATGGGCAGGCTGTCGGAAGTGCCGGCGGTGCTGTGGGAGGAACAGTGCCGGTTGCCGATGTGTCCGATGGGGATTCGCGTGGGACGGGTGTGCGGGGCCCACCGGCAGCGCCACCTCCACCCCCTCCTCAAGTGCTGTCCCCACCTCAAACCGGAAAGGGAGTTGGGCGGGCGCAGAGCACCACCGAAGATGCGTCAAAAGAGCAAAAGGAAGGAGAAGCAACTGCGCTTGCCGAAGGTGCCCGAGCGAATCAGCCGACTGAAAGTTCAAAGCAATCACCTGCGCACTCTTCTCCCGCTGCTGAGGGCGAAGATGCCGTCGTCGGCGGGCCGACTCAAGAGGGCACGGTGGGGAAAGCCGCCGCGGAGGCTTCACCGCCTGAGAGCGCGGTGCAACAAAACGCGGTCCAGCGCGACAATACTCGCGCCTCCACGGCAGTCGCTGGGGAAACTTCAGAAGCGGCACAAGACACTGCCGGTGG